ATTGTCGCATTTTTTTTTCAAGCCACAAAAATATTTGATTTGATTTTGATGAAGCAATCATTTTCATCAAATTACTTGCTTACTTTTTTTTATTATAATATAATGATTTTCTAGCCAATTATTATTATAATCTTATTAAGATCTTTATTACATCAAATACTTAATATTTTGTCCTTAATTCTGAAAAATTATATTACTCGTACATACTCACATATAATGTAATTTGTGAATTTTTTTTTCATTTTTAAAGCACAAAATATTTATTTAAGTCTATAATAAATATAATAATGTGCAGGAGTGTGAGTATGTTAAGATAGTAACAACAGATAACGAAAATACAATCATAAAGGAAGGCAATACAACACAATAATATTGAGGCATACAAAGAATATTCAGTAAAATAAAAAGGACTAAAACAAAAATGGAAGAAAGAAAAGACAAAAATAAAAAAAAATAACTTATAAAATGTCGTTTATTTTAACTCTTGTTTATTTTAGTTGTTTTTTTTTATTCCTTTACTTGAATATTTATTAATTTGGGTTCTCATTATAGACAGTATTCAGTTATTAAGAAAATTTCCAGAAAAAAAAAATCTAAATGGGTAAGACATTTTTCACTAATTGGGTTTAATATTTTAAATTTTAAGTTTAAAGCTTTGTTTCAAGATAAAATAAGAATATTTAAATTTGAATAAAGTTAATAATTTAGGTAAATTTAAATTTAAATGATTAATTAATAATATTAAAAGAATAACTTGTTCACAAAAAAAATTGATAGAACATGAAAACTTCCTAAAAAGAATAAATCAAATTACCCGTTAAAGGACCCAAATTCTTTTTCTTTCATGAATTATTTGGATGTTTCGCTTTATTAATCAAATCCATAATAATTTCTATTTAAAAATTATCCAATTTTCTATGAAAAGGGCAACATAGTTCGTTTGAAAATTACAATAACTCTTAAGCTATTATGGAAATTATTAAAGAAATTAGATTAACAATGCAGGAATTGACATTTATTTTAATTAATTTAAAGTTAAAACAAATTTATAATTTTTTCAGGACTCTTTTAAGTTTCTGATGATATTCCAGTAGAATGTTATAAATTTAAATGGATTTCGTGGAATTGAAAAATTCAAAATGTCACATAACTTGATACTGAATTAATTAATTAAGAAAATTTATTATTTTTTTTGTTTTTTCGAAAAAATTCTAAAACGATACAATATCGACAGAGTAACGTTTTCTGCTAGTCAATAAGAGTTTCAGCTTTACATCTAGTCTAATCCGTTGTTATTTTCAAAATATTCAAGTATTTTAAAATACAGCATGTGTTTTAGAATAATTTACAGTCTTTTTTAATTAAAAAAAAGTGGCAAAGTGAATGTTTTGACTTTTATCAAAATGTTTTCAATAATTCTTATGAAGAAAAACCATTTTCATTAAAATATTTCAATCTAAATTGAATAATTTGAGTGCCTAACTAACTAAAGTGATAGGAAAAAAATCTCAAATGGTATTTTTACCTAGAAATAATGGAAAAACTTAATAATTTTGATGGCTCATAGATTTAGATCACATAAATTTCAAATATTTTGTATGTAAAAATTTTTATGATAGCAATTTTCAGAAATTCACAACAGTCAAAAAATTCGATTTTAATTTTCCTTTAATAAATACAAAAAAAAAATAGGAACATACTAACGTCATAAAAAATAGTTCATCCAATATAACAAAAATCCTTACATAGCCTTGAATTGAATAAAATTTTCAACAAAAATAATATTTTTTCATTCTGAATTTGTCATTTTTCGAATATTTCCATTTTGTTTTTCATAGTAACAATATGCGTCTTATTGCATACTTTATACGTTTATACAGATTTTCCACTATAAATTTTAATAAAAAAAATCTGACGAAAATATTTAAAATATTTTGTAAACTATATGTACATATACATATGTATATATTTTTTCCTCAATGGCATGATGTCCTTCCTTTACCTTTCAACTCTTTTTTCCTTTGTAATAACACCTGAATCAAAACTAAAAAGAAAAAAAAATTCAAAAGTTATGGTTTTAAATTGCGTTCGTTGTTGAAAAAAAGTATTATTTTTATGTAGGTGACCCTTTTTTTCTATATAATATGGAAACCATGCCACGGTGGGTGGTAAAGGAAGTTTTGTGCAGGCATCATGTATGTATGTAAGGCTGTTTCGATGCAAAATAATTGTTAAAAAATAATATTAGTGCCAAGTATACAGAATAATTTACATTGGTGGAAAATTATTTTACTTTCATTGTAATTAAATTCTTGTCAAATTTAAAAATGTATGCATGTATGTATTACTTTTTTCCTATGTTTATTATTAAAATTTTGGTATACTCTAAAATACTCTACAAGCATATCGCCCAATATTTAAAAGACATGTAGATAAAGACATGTAGACAGTTTCAAATATGCAGATTTTCTAAGAATTTGGTACTTGTTAACCCATTTCCTCAGAATTTCATGTATACATAATGAGTACCATCATTATGTACATATATATAATACTACCAAGTTATTCCTCGAAATCAATAACTAACAAACTTTATTTTTGTCATACGTAAAAAAATTAATGAACGGGTTTTCTTCAAGCTTTAAGTGTCAGGGCTTTGGTTAGTAAAGAAAATAGTTAAGGAAAATCAAGTTTTTGCAATTGAGCTGCATTTATGAACAAAATTTACATATTTGAAGGTATATTTAGACTTACTAGTTTTTCTAAAAGAATTCTTGAAAGAATTAGTAGAAAGATAATTTTCATAATCTTGCGCTATGAAAATAGGCTAATTGCAATTTCTAAATGCGGTCGTTTATTACATAGTATATTTATACCGTTTTAATATATTTAACTCTTTCCCAATAATATTCATCAATGAAATTTCACAATGATCATAATTTATTGGAATAGAACGCTTTTATAACAAAAATAAAATTTTATCAATAATACTTCTTTTAAATCTGAATTCATAATGAAATTCCCGTGTGAAAATCAAATCAATTTTTATGAACCAAATCAAATAAAATTATTATTATTCATTATTAATGTCCTTTTCTTAAATACCTTTCCACAATATTCCAATATTTTGGATTATCCGTTGCCGTTCTTATCTATTATAGAAAAGAAAAATGTTATACTTAATTCAAAGCATCGAACAAGGATGCTGCTATAGGTTCTATGGGTAGTGAAAATAAGAATCAAAATATTATTCTTCCCGTTCTATATACATATTTTTTTATTGGATTCTGTTATCAATAAGAAAAAAAATTTTCTGACGAAAAAAAAATATTTTCATTTCTGTACTTTATTTTTTCTTTTCTTTCAGCACAATGTCCTTTTATAAGAGTCATTATAGAGGATACAATAAGAGCAATATAAGCATGAAAGCAAAATATAGAACACAATATTATTTGAAATTAGAAGATTTGATTATTTTTTTGTGTGACTTTAGCTCTGAACAGGGATTATGCTATTCTACTTGTATATAGTTATGTATTGACATCATTTATATTTTTTTTATCATATTTAATAAAGGTACGTATGTGTATAGAGAAAACATTATGAGTATTTGAATAAATAATGGAATGTGAATTAATAGGCAACCACAGTTTTATCTAAGATTTTAATATTTTATATAAAATAAAATTCTGATTCAAAAAATTATGATGCTTATAGATACTGACAATAGTAAATGGATAGTGGAACTGCACTTATAACGGAGACGAATAATTTTAATTGAATATATGTATATTTAAGATGAATTACAGTTCCTTATTTAAAATTTAAATTATTAAGTTTTAACAATTATTGGAATTTTGTTAAAGACTACATTAAATAATTAATAATCTTAAAATATGTGAATGCACCATAAAAATATTGTCTTTAATTAAATTCAAATGCATACATAGAAATACCATTAAAGTCATCAAGTTTAATAAGGTTTTTTTGTTATTATTTTTGTTGGAGAACTAATCAATATCGAAAGAAGGTGAAATAATGTAGTAAAATACATTACAAAAGTATTAAAAATTAAAAACAGTTACTCTAATATTTGATCAAGGACATCAACAACAGTAGAAAATTTATTTGTTCTGGAAAAGATATTAATAAAATTGACTTAAAAAAAATACGAGATGATAATGATAACATCATGAATAACAATATAGTAAGGATACTGATCTTATGATATTGATAATGTTTCTGATGAATAAGTTGATATATTTTTAATATGTCATAAAATTTTAATTCATTCCCTCGCATTTGTACACACCTACATGAATATAAACATCCATTTACCTATTTATTTCACATTTTATTTAACTGTATTGTAAAATATATGGAAACGAAAAAGTAATCTTTCAAAAAAAAAAGGTCCTTTTTTTGTTTTGTAAAGGATAAAATATTATATTTACTTCTAATTCTTTTGTTTGACATAAATTACGATGTACTAGTATACAGTTATAATGTATGCGTGGATATGTAGGATGTTCTCCATTCAGTACGAAAATAAAAAAAAGTAGAATTTAAATAGAGGATTTTCAAAAAAGAAAAATGTATTTTTTTATGTCAATTTCGCGATATGATAAATGAAAAGTTTATTTTACTACGGTAGGATGAAAGATATTTTAAGTAAATATATTCAATATTTTAAACGTGAATATCTAAAATATAAATAATGTTAGCGCTATTTTTAAAAATAGTTAAGATCAATATTAAATACGTGTTTGTTTTTGGTTTGTTAAAATAGTTGCGTATTACGTTCAAGCTAAACAAGCTAAATTTCGTGTTTATTCAAACAAACTGACAAGTAAGGAGACAGGAATAAAAGCGCTGTTATGAAGCCTAGGATACTGTCTTTCTAAACCTTTTTTAGGTGCAATGTTAGAAAACCAAAACGAAGAAATGAGACTTCAACAGTAGGAATCACAAAACCAGATGTTGATTCTAGAGAATAATATCTATGAATTCTGTTGTTGCTGCACAAGATCAGGTTCAAATATTGAAATATCTTCAAAAAGACAAATGTAACTTAAGAAAAAAAAAAAAAAAAAAAGTGATTACTTGAAGATTCAGCCTGTAATAGGGATAAAAAAAGCTCCCGGCACGATCAAATGTTTTGGACAGAGCTTTTGTATAATTTTGTAGAATTCACATTCCAATTTCTTGAGGAATAAGAAAACCTTTCCCTTCTTGGTCATCAAATCATATACATTTTTTCCACGGTGATTAACATAAACACATCGATTCATTACAATTACATCATTTCTACATTTTAAATTCCATTGCTCACGTTTTTATTTTCTCAAATTTGATTGAAGAGTTATTTGTCTTATGAAAAATCTTTCATTTTAGAAAAATAATTTTACAGATTAGTCCAAATTGCGCAAAATAATGAGTCCTTGGAATTTCTGGAGCAACAAATAGTATATTGTGGTATCTCGGAGAAACTTTCCTTGCACACGCGTTTTTAATATTATGATATCATCATGAACAAGAACTTGCAATTTAGTTGTTGGGGCATTTTCCATACAATAAAGCGTTATCTATTCAATATAGATTTTAAATTTTCTCCCATCCTTTACTTTCGCAGGGGAATCAAAAATGAATCACCTTATACATAAACATTCTTCTACATTTAAAAAAAAAAATACATTAATTTTATTTTATTAAGTTATTCATACAAAAATGTTGGTAGTTTATTTTATTTGTTTCTTCTTCTTTTTCCCTTTAGATAGGTTATGGTAGGTATTACAAATGTATGGGTGGTTTAAGAATATTATTGTGGCTGATGTCATTGTAATTTTTTTTTTGTTCCCTACAATATTTTTCCTTTTTTTTCTCTGATTTTCAAACAAAAGAAATTTCTCAAGTGTATTTACCTTTCAATATTGTTATGCATGCGCTCATATATTAGAAAATGTTGAGGAGATAAAGAGATATTTTTTTGTTGCCGTTTCCGAAGTGATATGGGATTTTTACAATAATAAACCCGATGGTTCACATTGAGCTATACGTACTTACGTAATGTGTGTATACAATTTTATGCATAAATTCTATAATATTGGTATGAACCATATATTATATAAATTTCATTCAAGTATAATATTGTTAGGTATATAAGGTCTTAATATATAATATATTAAGTAAAAAATGTATATAATACTTGTTATGTTGAACAATATGTGCGGGTATATTGTAATATTTAAAGAATTTTCGAATTGTTATTGCTAAGATTAAAATATATATATGGATCGTATTGCTATGTAGAGAATATTTATTTTGTAATTTTAGTTTCCCTCGCATTCATAACTGATTTGTTTTTCGTTCTGTTTCTTGTTTCAGCTTTCAAAGAACATTATTTGCTACGCAACCTTAATTTTCTTTTATAGTTATCGTATTTACATATGTATATAGTTTTTAAATAAATTGTTCTTATAAATGAAAATGTTAGCATGTTATTTTCAACCTTGACATATTTTATAGTTAAACGTAAGCACAACGAGCTTCTTCCAATCTATTTCTTTTTTTTTATATATGTATCTATACAAAAAGAGCAATTTTAAACACATACGTACATATTTTCAACAAACTTTAATTCGATTAAAAATTAATTCGTTCTTGAAATCATATACATATCTTCAACATAAAAAAGGAACCATCCACTTGTGATTTAATAAAAAAATTGTAGTTAATAAATAATTGGAAATAATTTATAAATTTTCTAATAACTAAATAGCATTAACTTTTAAGAAATTTTAATTTGAATGGGTTAAGCAAGTCAAAAGAAATCAACATTCAGTTTTACTATTAGAAAGAAAAAAGTCAGAATTTATTGAAGAGGAATTTAATTACAGAATATCTTGTTGTTCATTGAGCATACGTACTAAACATAATATAGGTAAATGTATAAGTGAATCTAATCATAGTCTTGATTCGAATAATAGTGAAAGTGAGAAAAAATTCAATCTTGAATTTAATATTTCAATGAATTACTCAAAGTTCAAAATCGATTTTCGAAACAAATTCAAACAAATCCTTATCCACACACTTAATTTCAGTTGATAAGATAAAAACATTTCAATTTTCCATAGATACAACCATTTTTCACTCAAAATACTTTATCTATTGTCAATCAAAATAATAAAATTTTGCTTTAAAATGAAATTTTTTTAAAACTTTCTACCAAGAAAATAGAAAAATAAATAAAAAATATTTTTAGTATTGTTCACTTTCTAAATTTTATTACAATTTATTACATTTTCCTATAAAAAAAAGAACGAAATAATAAAAAAAAAATGGAATCCTTGAAGCATTATCCTTAATTTTTTCCAATTCTCTTGTATTGTACAGTTGATTTTTCATTTTTTGATTTTATATTCCCAGACTAATGTAATAAAAATTGTATATGTACCAATTTTTTATTTTTTTTTTTTTATAAAAATTTAAAGCTTCAAGATCTTACAACTCCAAGAAAAATGTATACAAGGATTACAATACAAAAAATAAAGAATGATTTCTATGGTAATTCTCGAAGAAAAATATAAAAAAGAACGAAGAAAAAACGAAGTTGGATGTTGGTAATAAATTTTTAATTTTTAAATTTCCAATAAAGCACAAAAAAAAATAAATTTAAAAAAAAAAACATCAATTCTGACCATTACCAGCTGCGGTGGCTATAAATAACTGATAAATTACAAGTAGAACTGCCCTTCATTTTCCTCCGTAGCTTACACATTTTAATATTTCATGAAAATCTAATTCGTAGATTCTATTTTTAATTTTCCATTCATAAACAATGAAGGAATTCACATAATAATTATTTTCAGTCTTTTTAAGATTTTTAACAGACCTCGTTGACTCACAAAATGATTTCTCGTTCGGTACGCTTATATTAAAAGTAATTTTTCATTGAAAAATTAACAAATTTTCTAGATACATACATTTTAGATATTATCCTAACACTCATGCGGGAACCTTAATATTTTAACTTTATCTTATTATTTGTAAGACTATTTTTCAAGTTACATAATTTCCTTTTTTTTAATGCGTTTATTTTGTATTAACCGTATTTCTGGTTTAATGAATTTTTTATAAAGGATATACATCCTTAATCTTTTTTAGAAAGGTATCAATAGTATGGAATGACCTTGTTATTACATTATCGAAAGTATGTTTGTATGTTTGAATACATATTGCATTAATATATAGAATATATTAGATTTTATGGATGGTGTGGTATCTTTGTATTTAAAATTTTAAATTTTTAATGGAATTAAAAGTTTTTCCGTTTCTCATTTTCTTTAATGATTTTAAAAATATATTCAATTTAATTGAAAAATGTAATGCCCATGATATTTTTTACGACTATATAAATAGTACGTTGTAATATTTAAGTGAAGTAATTTACTTAAGTGATATGATTAAAGGGTATGTTCAACTTGTTTAAATAATTCATTGTTACTCAAAAATGGCTACTGTATGTAAATCAATCGCTTTAATTTCAAGTTTACGTACATAGACATAATTTTGATCTGCAAGTGTTGTGATGGAGTACCTAAAACTTACTTTAACCATCATAATTAATTTAAACTTATTTTCCTTTTTTATTATTTCATCGTTATTAGTATCAACTGGGGCCCGACTTATTGTTGGCTGATTTGGTTTAGTCGCTAGTAAAGAAGCTACTTGTAAGTAAGCTATTCTTTTTGTGAGTGTATAACTATAAACTAATGGTCTTACTATCTGAATCATGAAGCCATACTTTTAGTGCGTTCTATTACATCTTTAAAAGTAGTCTTATACATTGAAAAGATTTTTGAAATTAATTTTCATTTGCAAATGCATGCAAATATTTTCTCATTTGATCCCCTATGTGTATGAAGTCCATTATCTAAAAAGAAAAATTTCTCTATTATCCAGTAAAAATTTTTGCCCCTAACTTATATGTATAAACAATTTTTCTGATTAAAAACCAATGTTTTTTTAAAAATTTAAATCTTTCCTCTTAAATAGGAAAGAACGATCTACATTACTTTATGTTAATACACCTGCTTCCCATTTCACCTTTATTCTTAAACAATCAGAATAGAATATATTCATGAATTTAATTTAAAAACACAAATATATTCTACTATATAATAGCTACTATTATAGTAACTGAGATTCCACTAATTTATTTAAAATCTTTTATTTTTGTATATAGATATTTTTCTTTAACGACTTAATTATACTTTAAAAGTGCTGTAAATTAACTAACCTAATCGGAATAAAACCGGTAATTTGTAGAAAATAAACGCATGAATTTTAAATAAAACCAAGAGAAAAATATAGAGAAAAAAAAAAAACAAGAATAAAACGTTTGAATAAAAATTTCAAATTCTTTCCCAGTTAATTCTAGGATAAAATTGTCGTCGAATGAAATTAATATTATAGAATCGGATGTTTTTAGGAAAGGAGCAAGTAAAATATTTTTGACAAGATAAATTTTATTGTATAAGAGAAAAAATTAGGACACAATAATAACGTGGTTCGACTTTACCCCCAATTCTCACATTGTATACTCTTTGATTTAGCAAAAATTTTAGTGTTTTAAGTACGCTTATCACCATATTCGTTTAAGCCACATTTAAATTTAAATTATAAATTCATAATTAATAAACCAAACATGATCTAATAAATAAACTGATATTTTTAAAAGTATTCAAAATTAATGTAATCCTATTCGTTACTCAATGTGTTAGAAACTAAGAAACATCTTTTAGTTGCGCTTCTCAAATAGTCGAACAAGATTACAAAGTTTTATTAAAGCAAGAAAATTTCATTCTTATTTTCCTATTACTTTATATATTGTATGTATGTATAATATAAATGTAAATGTAATTGATTATAAACCAACACACCAAAATGTATTTTAAAATAACATACATATATTTTCATTAGCAAACAGTAAAAAAAAAAAAAACAAGAAGAAAATGGAATAATTGAATACCTTTAAAAAGATGTTTTTCGTTTTTATTTTCTGTTAGTTTTTAAGGTCCCTAGTCTATATCCCAGTGGTATCGCAATTTTATTATTTTAAAAGGAAGGTAAGCTACAAAAAAAAGCAAAAAAAAATAATCACAACAAATTAGAAACATAACAAATGAAAACTAAATTTGTTTTTATGTACGTGTACCTGTAGAATCTTTGGTATCTACCTACAATATCAAAATGTTAAAATCAAATAAAAAAAAAAAAATAATGTTTTTTTTTTTTAGTTATTTTGAAATCCACAAAATTAAATTCTCAAGGATATTAAAGCGTATCCGTTTTTCAATTTTTTATTTTAATTGAAAGTCCTTAATTAAACAATTTTCAGAAAACGTACTCTGAATAAAAAACAATAACGATAACAAGAAAAACAAAAAAACAAAAGAAAATTACATTGAATTGAATTAAATTGGAAGCTCTTTTAAAATTTATATTCGTAAATTTTCTTGTAATTTTTATCGTTTTCTTGTTTTTCAATAATATTTAAAATTCAAAAAAAAATTATAAAAGAAAAAATGTGAAAATTAAATCTTTTTTTGATTATATTTCAGATTTTCATGGTTTTTTTATTATTCTCGGTTCTATATAAATAATATAAACTGTTAGAAAAGAGTTAGTGTGTTTGGTGGTAAGGTTTTGAACCCTAAACGGAAACAAAGTTATGGTCTTGCTTAAAAAAAATGACCGCGCTAATCTTTATAAGAGATAAACAAAAATTAATTCTTGAATTAAATTTTGTTTCTAATTATATAACTTTTAGTTTTCAGCATAATAAACTAGAGATGAATTATTAAAAAATCTGTTGCTTGAGATGACCTGTAACAAACTCTATTGAATGCATTCAATAATGCAAGCCTCAACTATTGTACATCAGTTTCAATTTATAAAAAAAAAAATTTTAAATTTGTTCAAATTTTTCTTTTTTTTGCATCTTAATTTTATTTTTTTGTTAGCTTGTGCAACTGAAGGCCAAAAATATAATGGAGCTTGAGATCTCTGGAGCTTGAGAAGGTTTTCAATTTATTATGTGTTAATTTTTGAGACATAAGATTCAAGAATAATTAACCTACTATTTTTAAAAGAATTAAAATTAGTTTTTAAGGAAATAAAATTTTAGTTAGAATTAAACAAAAATTAAAAATGGTAGTCTAAAACTATTGAAATCACATGTTTCAATATTTTTCACATATAAAATGAATTTATATAATATTGTGTAAGTTGTTACATACTCTCTATATGAAAAAAAATCGAATGTTATTTTCCTATATTGTCTATTTCTAGTTACATAAAAAATATAATCATCTATTGATAGGTAAGATTATATGGATTAATATGAAAAGAAAATATCCATAAATTTAATATTGCGACTTAAAAAAAATGTTGATATACAATTATAATTCTTTATATTAAAACGTATTTAGTCTACTTTTGTCATCATAAGTGCGTACCCACTTCTTATATTATTGTGTACTTCTTATATAAACGTATACCATATGAAAAAATAGCTCTTGCATGTTATAAATTCAGGTCGAAATTAAGAGAAAATAATGAAATAGAAGAGGTTACAGGCGTGTTTGGTTATTTCAAGAAGTCTAAATTGGTACAAGTGATAAAAAAACTGAGGTTTTAGAAATTTGCTCGAATAGTCACGGCTTTCGAATGATTGCGGTAATAGAGTAATCGAATGCTAAGTGAATGTAAAAAAAAAAAAAATATGAAATTCTTTTTTTAGTAAATAACTATGAAATTTTTTTATTTTACAATTCTAACGGTTACAAGATAAGTTCTAACATATATTTATTATTCCATAAAAAAAATACCTTAAATTAGCGAAAACATCTTTGCATTAAACTACACTCAACTACTTAAATAAAAATTTGTATTAACGAAAACAAGTATTAAAGAACACTTTAGTTTTTATTGTTATTTAGTAAGTACTATTTTCTACAAAACAGAAGAACACATGTCCGAAATTCCTTTACGTATCCTTCCAAAATTTTATTAAAATAAAATTCTTTTTATCATTTTTAATATAACTAATATTGTGTACTTGTGTGCTACATCAGAAGATCCTATATGTATACATAAATATGTTTTGATAACATTATGTAGAGAAATGTAGGAAAAATTAATATTAGAATAGGAGCAGGTTTTAATAATAAACAAAACAATAGACTTACTATATGTATGCAAAAATGTCCTTAATTATATACATATTCATATATGCGAATACGAATTTAAATTTACATACACGTTGGTATATGCAAATTTGTTTGTGTGCATACATAATAACTTTTATTATGTTTTATTATAATATAAGTGAGGTTCTACGTTATATAAATAGAAAATATATAGAATAAAATGAGAAATGGGAACTTTCTTTTGTTATTTTAAATTTTTTTTTTATAAGAAAGGAAAAAAGGGATACTAAAAAAAAACAGAAATGCCTACCCTTTTTTTTAACTTTAATATTTTTAGATGCTTATCCTAGAAAAATATTTTATAGTGGTACTTTGTACGCAACTTGAATTATGCTTGAAACAATTTTTAGATGCTAGAACATAATTTCCGATTTTATTTTGTATATTATATAAGAAAGAGATCGAAAATGCTATTGCATTCAACTTAAGAAATCGAAGTATAGCGTTTATAGCATTTTAGAATTTTTTTTCGAACTCAATGCTTATTTGGAAATTGTTATTCTGAGTTTCTTAAAATCTTCACTATTATACAAAGTCAAATAACCGCACATTGCTGTGGTGAACCATTTCGTTTTATTTTTTTTTTGTTTCTATTATATTGAACTACACATGGAGCAGATTTTAATATTAAATCAGTTTTTAATATGATAGAAACTAGAAGAAAAGCGGGTAAAATTGTTATCACTTAATAAAAATTACAGTTTTAAACTTGCAATTCTCTTTCTTAGAACATAACAACTCGTGTAAATTTCTAATTCTCACAACTTGTGCTCAATCAACACGCGTCACATCAAAACTGCAGTAATAATTAATTGAGCAATTATAACTCATATAAGATGAATTGTATACCTATCAATAATTGTGAATTTGTGTTTTGATTCATAATTTGTAGTTACTGTATCTGGTCTTATAGAATAGCACTCAATTTGTGTTATATTATTAAAAATAACATTTACAAATAACATTTCTATAGATCTAGAATAAAATGTACTTGTGTAGGTATTTCGAAAGTTTTAATAGTGGATATGTTTATAATACTTGAGATGTAAAAAAAAAATACATATATATATATTTTCACTTTTTTTTGTTATTCATTTTTGTTTTTTTTAAATATTCTTAAGAATTTTACATGTCAATATTAAAAAAAATTATGCGATAAAGCAAAGAAAGTAAAAACTTTTATTTTTTTTAAGGAGAAGAAAATGTGATGAAGTAGGTATACATATTATGATAAATATTTACATACACTTAATATAATAATATCTATATGTACATCTGTGTGGTACATGTTAAGTATTATGTAAGCATTCATAAAATGAAAAAGGATGAAAATAGAACATAAATAAGGAAAATAATTTTTGATTGAAGATAAGATTGAAAGCGGGAGGAACAAAAAAATTATCCATCTATACCTATATACATGCATTTAATATGTACATATATATTTTTATTTTACAGTTCAGTTCCCAAATTGATTATGGGTTGTTAGTGTATATATGTACATGCATATAA